GGGTTCAACCTTGGCGTGGACTCGGCAAGAGGAGGCGCGTGATGGAGGAAGGAAACACGAACAGAAGAGGAAGATAGACTGCCTATTGGGCTTGGTCTGTACTGTTGTTTTTGACTTCGGAGCATTGTCCACTTTGGATCCATTGCCACCCAAAAAACAGAACCTAATAGTTTTGGGCCAAAAATGTCTACTGGAGACCTCAAGAGTAGTACTGGGGCCGAATATTCAATATTGGTTTGGTTATGGCCCACTCCAAAAATAAATTAATTTTAGATGAGAAAATATGGAGAAAAGCGACCAACAAAGGGTTGGATCAAGTGGTAAGCGGCTTGTTTCAGTTTAAGCAAGATCTCGAGTTCGAGTCCTTGCGTACGCAACAGCCTTCGTTGGGAGACTCACACACCATTTCCAGGTGCGCGACCCGGGTCGAGTCCGGATTAGTCGGGACGAAGTCCCGGATACCGGGCGGGAAACCGAAAAAAATATGGAGAAAAGCGAAGGGCTATTGTTCCTATGAATTATGATTTTAGCAAAAGTACTAGGATTTCTAAATGTTACTCTTTCCATCCTTTTTCATACCATCAAAGAATGAAAAAGGGGAAAAAGAAGAAAAAGGCAGCAAGGAATTCAGGAGGAGACAAATTTCACTTGTTTTGGCATATCACTTGAATGGCCTACAAGGTTTAATAAAACATAAGTACTGTAGTATTAATGTAACACATCATGTCACCATAGTCAACTGATTCCAAAGACCAAAGTTACATTCACGAAAACTATAAATTGATGTAATCTTATTATTGTCATTAAATATATTTTTTAATTAAATTCCAAACTTTCAATTATAATATTTTGAGTTTGATTCAAATATGTTACCACAGATTGGAAGCATTTGCACAGAAAACTAAAAAATTTTACAAGTTTGCTTCAAATCCAATTTTATAGGTTTAAGTCAAATTCTTGTATAAGAATTGATTTCAACTTTAATCAACTCAAACCACATCGTATGCCTTCTAAGGCTAATTAACACCTCAAAAACTCAATAAAAAGTCATAAATCAATTATCTGGTATCAACACAAGTAAGCAATTCACAAATGAATAAATAAAATTTAACTTACAACCAAGCTTGTTTTCAAGTTTAGTCCTTGGATTCATACGTCAACCTTTGTTTTCCACTTCTCCAAATGTCCTTGGTTGCAGCACGCCTGCAAAATGTACTCATCCATTTGTTTTTGGTACCCATTTTGTTTTGGGCACTTGATGGTTAGTTGAAATTTCAAGTGTTCCCTCAGAAACCCACATCAAATTCATCTTGAAAAATTTCTTTCTAATGTAGCATTGATGAATATAATGCCCTATCTTCAAGCAATAATGACAAGTAACTTTATTATTAAAAGAATTATGTATATGATTATTTTCAATGCTAAATGCTTCTTCAATCTCATGAGAATGCATAGGGTTGTTCTTCACAAATATAGTGCAATAAAATGAGGATGCCTTGGAAGAATCAAATCTATTCTAGGTTTAACATGAGCAACTCTTTGTGAACTTAAATGGGTGTCCAACTTATTATTGCCTTTCACAAAATGAGACAAAGATCTTTCAAAATCACTTTTTTTTTTTTATCCATTTCAATATCCCATTGTTGTTTAATTATTTTTTGTTTTTCATCTCTAAAGGCAATTCTAAGCTCAAGGTTTGATCCAATTTGCACTTCATCATTTAAAGAATTTTCCAACTCAACTTTTTCATCTTTAAGAGACTTCACTAATTTCTTCATTGTTGCATTCTTAGCATTAACTTTTTCAT